AGCACTACGACATATTATATCTACCAAAGTTGAATGAAACTATCACACCATCTATATACAAAAAGAGGACAATACAGAATAAAATATTTCATTCAGTAAATGCAACATCCATTTACTTATTGGAAAACTTTTAGTGTAGCGGTCGCATCGAGTAAATATGCGAATCATTGATTGAAAGAAAAACGGTGGTATCTTTTTTACGGAGCATGTATTCCTGTTGAAATGTTTTGTTGTATAATAAGTACCTATGTAATTATTATACAACTAAACTAAAACGTTTCATTTTATTTGTATTCTTTTTATTGTTTCTAAATAAAATTATTTAAAGAAATATAATTGTGCGCCATTATAACTGATATAAACAAAGTAGAACATCTAAGTACATGTTTATTTACAATCTTCTAATTACGATAAGGAACGTAGGTTACGTCCATCTCGTTAAATTTGTGAAATGTGAAATGTAAATATTTTTAATATAATAATTATTTAGTAAACAATTTGATAAACACATTTTTATTCTTTAGTGAAATATGTTTGAATAAGTCTCTACTTTACCGTTATTAGTTTCGAGAATTTTAATACGATGTTTGTAAATAAAGCTTCATACTGATATAAAAAAAATATATTCCCAATAATAGAGATCGAGGGGCTTGTTATATAAATAGTGTAAGCAAAGACGATCTAAATTTACACGGCGGAATTGTTACAAGCGAACTAAACCGGTAGATGCATCTCGCCAAGTTTGGGACAAAGTGAAACTATTTTTATATTTGATTGCAAGACACTTTAACATTTTCGCTTATACTTTACCTGGTTTTTAAATATTTATAATTATTTTCTACAGGTAACGGATTAAAATTTCGAAAACACTGTTAAATATCTACGCCAGACATTAGCGAAAATAGACATACCTTGATAGAACACATAATTAAGTTAGAAATTAATATTTTTACTAAGACAAATTGTATGTGAAGTACGTAATGTTCTCTTATCGATGATCTGAGAATACGGTAGAGTGCGCTAAAAAGAAACAAAAAGATACTACTCAATAAAATACCTAATTAACTTAAAAAACTGTACAATGAGTCAGTAAAATTTATGGAAAAATAATTATTGTATGAAATATTCTCCATTTAGAAACTGTTAGACTCCACTGTTAACTTAGATATGATATAAGTACAATCCAAACATTATGAAATAAGCACGTATAGCGTAATGTAGTCTGACACATCATTTTTAAATGGCTCTAATTTCAAATTACTGTCACTTTGCTATGTATTTGTTGTTGCTCGACTTTTGTAATGATGTGTTCAGTAAATTGTTCGATATCGAATTTAATGTGCGGTTCCTGTCGCCACAATGTGAAATGTGAGTTCCATTAATCTTTACGTTTTAATGAGGCGACGAGAACGCTCCAAATTATACGTGTCATTTGTTATATAATATACAATTATATACTTTTTTCTTACTGAAATAACGATTTAGTATTCTCCTATTGCAATAACTTTCTACAAAATAATTATAATTTGTTTAAGATAAACATAAAGTTCTGTTTTTTATGTATATGTCACAATAACAATTTGTATTTACTCAATACCTCAAGTAACATCTACCTTGTTAATACCGTGTAGTTTATTAGTGATTATGAAAAACATTTATTAGTGATTTTTTTTCTTACTGATTTAGTATTTAAGTTCAATTGTATAAAATAATGACATACATTCCATAAGCCGGACCGAAGCCTCACTAATTTGGATATTTGATACTCAAATCCGTGTACGTGAAACGTATACGTACATATAATCTGGGTAATTATTATTATATACACTATTGGCAGAATGGAATGAATTGTAATGTTTTTAACATAATGAATGTTAAATAATCGGAAGATTGTTATTATTTCAACACTTAGTTGATTTCTTCTATGGTTTCTATTCCACAAGAACATATTATGTTAAATTAAAAAAAAAACATTATAAAAATAATTTTTAATTTAACATAATACGTATTTTATCAAAAGATCTGTAGTTGTTGTTCTATTGGGCACACGTCTAGCTAACCGGTGTATAAACTTTTGTTTTAGATACTCCTTAGTCAGTTACGAAATCCTAGACATGAAAACAGCGGTGACATTCTGTACTTAACTGGTCCGTGGTCAATCTGAGAATATATTTCTCAATATCAGTAAGATACAAAATAACAATTTGTAAAATATCAAATACAGTAGTTTAGAAATATCAGAATTACTAAACTACTGTTAAAACAAAAAATAACGTCGCATTACGAACTTCCTTTAATCAGTTGATAACGAAATAAATACTTATACCTACATTGTTAACTGCGACACGTCACTTCGTAACTGTTCTAATTATCTACCTTAAGCCACGTATAGTACGTAATAAAAATTTTAAACGGAAAAAAATAATTTCGGTTTAGTACTTCCGTTCTTATTTTGTATTTATACGACAATCAGTGTTCGTACAACATTAATTAGGGCTGCGCTTTCAAATAGACAGTGCTTCGCTCCGTCCGACCACCTTTGAACTACACATAAATTTTCCGTGAAAACCGATCACGAATTAAACGTATCGAATAGTTCTTTAAACTCGGATAATTGATGGATTTCAATCGTTACTAATCGACCAGCATTAACTAAGTATTTAGAAGCATTTCTTACTTCGAGCACTTTTGTTCCAACCTATACCTCGCATTTAATGCACTACATCAAGAAATTTTAATTAAGTCTATTTTTATACAGAGTAATACGGAGCTATGTTTACTAAAGGAGTAAGTTTTGTGTATTTAGTTGCAACGTTTACTTCCTATATGCAATACATATGTAAACACAACGCGTGTGACGTCAGATAAATTTGATCAAAGTGAAAATGGCTGGAGTCGGGAGCGTTTCCACGCTACTTGCTTCGAGTTTCTGTCAACGCTTCAACTAATGCTTCCGTCGACTTCCAATTTTAAACTTTTGATGGTGTTTACGGCGCACCAATTTATAGGCCAGTCGATATTGTTGACACGATTTTATTGGTTTTGTTATAGGCTATAGGGCTCAAACCCTTGGTTCTGCTACAAAGTGCATTCGGCTTAGAATTACTGTAAAGTCGTTATAATTTGTTATCGTTTATCTTTAATAAGATCTTAACTTTCTCATTAATCATTGAGTGTTAGCTATGTTATAAACTCGCACTTCTATTATACATCAATGCATAATAATCTCTCATACCAGTGACAAAGGAATTTTAAAACACAATTGTTCCTGAAATTCTTCATTGTATAAAAAAAAACTAGTATTTATCTTCTTATTCATATACACTGTGGCTATTTTGTTTTCTCCTTTATCGTCTTATGTTGTCAATTACGACTCTGTATACCTACTGTTTTGCAATATTTTCCACAAAATAATAACGATTCTATGGAAAGAACGATATTTTCATTTCCTGTGGAAAGAATGATGATTAAGTTAAAGAAGATGTTAATATATTTCTTTCGTAACAAATTTGAACGTTAATTTTTATTTTTTTATCAAAATGAATAAAATGGCATCAATAACTTTGCGATAACAACGTCAAAAAATGTACTTTCCTGGAGTCGTGTCTTTCGAGAATCGGTTCGTGCAAATTCATGTATCCAAGTGTTGTTACAATGTACTATTGAAAATTTACTTCCCAAAACTGTTCGCTACAATTTTATTGGAACACGTTTCCAAATAGTAAGTACATAAATGGGTCTACCACGAAACGATTTGTGAGGATTGGTACAGTTAGAATGAAAAGCAACAAAGGCGGAATCCCACGGTGCGAGTTCAATGGACGGATGCCTCCGTCACGGTACGCTTACGCAGACTGTACAAGTACGCTAAGAATTAACATTTCTAGTGCATTATGTATCTATATAGAAATATTATAATATAATAAGCCTTGATTTGTCGCAGTCAGTTTTTACTTAATATTAGAGGATATCGGGATATTACAGTGTGAAAAAAAAATTACAATTGGAAAGTGTCCTACATATAAGTGGCGATACAGCGAGTTTTTTTGTGTCGTGCGATTTACGGTAGTAATAACAAACGAAATATTGGGAAGATATAGACTTCTAATTTATCATCTAAAGCTGGTCTTTCATTTATCCATAATCATTGCATTTGCAACACCGCCGAATTATCAGGAATATTGATTTCCTGATATCCACAATACGAACAAGACATGGTAAAGTTTAACCATTATTTAATGTGTAAATATTTTAATGGATATAAAATCTTAATGTTAATAATAATTGATGCATAAAATCGACATCCTTAGTTTAAAATTATTAAATTATAAATTTACAATGCTTTACAAAACGAAATTAAACATAAAATTTATGTTTATTGTATAATTAATTAATTGTTTAATGGATGAACATAAATTGATGTTATTTATTAATTATTTATTTCCAATAAGCAGTAAATCTGTTCACGGTAATGAGTAATCTCAGAGCTATCATGAAAATGTAGGTACATTCTAGTGGGTACATAATAACCATAAAATACGTAGTTATAATTTTTAAACATAATATTAAAAAGTTCCAGTTTTATTCGTTAATATTCACCAAAAAATTACGGAAATACATTAAAAAACCCCTTTTTAAGTTTCTATTTAAAAAAAATACTTTCTCATGGTTTCATTCAATAAAAAATAACTTTCTCTTTGAAATAAATATGAAAAGCAATAATATATTTCAGTTGATCGCTTTCTAATTTTGTCTGTTTTTCTTATAAAATTTCAGTTCATTTGATCATTCTTCAGTTATATGTATAATCTAAATTGACATATCCGGACTAATATTATAAATGCCAAAGTGTGTCTGTCTTTTAATTTGTTTTTCACAACTAAACAGCTGACCAATCTTGATGATATCTTAAAATAGACGAGGATAAACGAGGACGAATTTAGTTTATTATAACGGCCAAACGATTACAAAAAAATAACTATTATTATTATTTGTTGTAGGTGCCGAGAACTGAGAAACGTCGATCAGTGCCAGTGCCAGTCGGGGATAGACACTCATGCTCTGAGGACCGAGTCCCTGCCCCCCATGGACCCCCACCGTCACCAGGCGCGGCAGCGGCCCAACATCGAGTTGCAGCCGCATGTCAAGCCAGCAGGAAGTTGCTGGAAGAAACTCTTGCTAAACCAGGTATTATTAGCTTAATTATTACATTGGATAAGTGATAGTAATAATAATAATACCAGAATTTCCAAACTAAAAAGTGATTTCTAGTTTAATATTTTATAATGATATAGGTAAATTCTACTGATTACACGGGGCACGGGACAGGTGGATAAAATAAAAATATTAATATTGTCGTCCAATATTTCAGTATAAAATAATTATAATTACCTAAATTTTGGCGTTACGAATTTAAAATTCGATTTTTTAATATATTTGGTATTTCTGCAACTTTGAATTACTATCTACATAACAATCTATTATGCTAGAAAATAGACTCTCGTGAACTAAAATTAGATACCATTAGAATGTACATAATTCGTACTTTAAAAATCATTAAATTGTTTAGAAAACAATCATTCTCATTATCAAGCCTGACCCGTAATAATAATTAACTCAACTTTAATGCTACAATATAAAATTGCACTCGTTACACGAATACTCCACTAATTTGAGCAATTCAGTGTGCTCCATTTATTCAGGCATTGAAAGAAGTTTGTTTCAATTGCAAAATTTTTGGTATGTTGAAACAAAACGTGAACTTTTGCGATTAACTCCGTACCAAAGTGGGTCGGCTACTTTGTGCATCTGACGTAGGTACGAAACTCAATTCTCAATTGGACTGATCTTGCTATTTTCTTATATGCTATTTTATATAGCAAGTAGAGTCAAATTCATGCGGCCTCTGTCCTTGTATATATTTCTAGCCTGTTCCATTTTCATAGCTCTTTATAAATATTAAATAGATATATGATTTAGAGATTTTTCAACTACTTCAGCCGATATACAATACTATATATAATTCTGTTTATAAAAGATATACTGTACTTTAAAAATAACAATTCATGCACCTCTTACATGTGGATTTTCCAAAACTTTCTTTTTCGGATTCTGTAAGGGTTTAAATACTAATATGGATATAACATACTTTTAGAAACGTTTTTGTGATTGTGGAATATACTAATTAAAATGCTAACAACCATCAAGTGGAAGTCATGCATAATTTAGTCAGTTTTAAGCAGACGCGATCAATGTCTTTATTTTATTAAGATATAATTTCGTTGTTCTCTTTATATAACTTTTGATGCGAGACCGTCTATATCTTAGTTTCTTTACCATTATCACCCTCTGAACTGACTCGCCCGTAATAACTTTCATCATTGTTGCAAACCATTTGCAGGAGAAAGTTGGAAATGTTGAGAACAGAAGTGTGAAAGTATTTCGTTTTAGATTTACTGAGTTTGTTTATGAAGTCTTTTGTATTGAATTCTGGTTCTATTGAAACAAGAGCGTAATTTCTCTACCTAATGGTTTCAACTTCAAAGGAAATGTTCTTCGGGAATTTCGTAGTAAATTTTCATTGATGACAGATATTGTCGACTTTGGTGCTTCTACATACATAGCTATTCAATATTATCGTTATTATTATCTTAAAAATTATTTATATAAAAAGACTTCAGTAGTCTAGTAGTTGAGTAGTAGTAATAATAATAGTATTACTACTTACAAATTAAATTTGAATATTTTTGATATCAATTTCAATTACAAAATGGGTGAATATTATCTAACAAGTACAGTATAGCTGGTGTAGAATTCCAACAGGAGGTTGGACATTTTAAATATTAATTCCAAATCGACATAAAGTGATACTAATGCTGAAATAGCATTATTATATCCAGATGAAGCTTCAGACCGTATACCTATACGAGTAGTATTGATTGTAGATGATTTTGAATTATTAATCTCAATCCTTATGATTACAATATCGATTGAATTTAAGTGATGTTATGATTATATATTATGGTCTGATATATGATAGTGTCGTAATAAACAAATCTGTCTAACTGTCTGTCTATCAAATATTATTTTTTTATACAAATATTACGTTATTCATGTGAGGGATGAATTTGAAATAAATAATTCACAAGAGTCACGTAAATTCGTAACTCCTCCGTGTCGGAACGTATTCCCAAAAGCAATTTTTGCGCGAATAATCAGTTATGAGTATCGAGATAATTTGATCTTATAGTGGTACTAGAATATTTATACAGTTCTGTATTGAAGGAACTTGAAAGTGAATGTGAAGTTTTGTCAACAGGGGACTAAATAATAATACTAAGTTCACTTGACCCAACCAACCTACACGAATCGTGAGTTTACTACTGTCTTAGTTTAATTTGTATTACAACATTTAGGTATTAAAGGCAGTTCATTTATATAGATTAAGATTATGATTAAAATAATGTCTGTAACAAAGCCCTTAAATGCATTTTTTTTTTATTCTATGAATCTTTGAAAATCTTTTCAACGAGTAACATAACTCACTTAATTATGTCAAAGAAAAAGTTTCTCGTGTACTCTCTTTGCTGATTAAGACATTAATTAAATTAGTAGATAGCCGCGGTTACATCAGAGATTATATGTTAGAACTGCAAAGTACAGTCTCTTGTTAAGTATAAACTTAGCACGAGAAAACCAAATAAGTCTTCGTTTTCTTTTAAAATGGAATTAATTTAGATTTTCTTGTCTAGTTTTAATCTTATATTAGATTAAAAGAAAAGTTTTAAAATAGAACTTGTCGCAATTAAGTAGAAATTTTTAGATATTAAAAAGTTTTATAATATTTGTTCATATTTTATATATATATATATATATATATCGTACGATACGATTACGAAGATACTGATCTGTTGGGATATTGGATCCATTGTCAATAACTTGTAATGATGATGATTAATTCTGTTATTTTTAACGTTTTTATCTATATTCGATAGATAAAATCGTTAAAAATAATACAGACACAGAGATTTTTCTTACATTGTATATATATTTTTTTAATCATTGTTACTATATACTCGCATTCAATTCAATATTAAAATTTGTTTTCATTTATCAGTTTAAGGGTTTTTAACCCTTAAACTTTAAAAAAGTTACTAAATATTTCAAATCTAACATATACTATATAAATATGCCATAATTATGTCAGCTTTATTTCAAACTTTCTCCAAGCTTTTTTTATAAAGGACTGGTTTCATATAAAGCCTGGCAATGAAGCATTATGAAGCGCACAGTGAGAACAATGAAGCCTCACAGGACATAGAACTATATTGAAACCCTTGCAAAAAATATGCCTTGACAAAAGGCGGTCTAGACTTTCTCAGTTTGAAATTAGATGCGGGCCTGAAGGGATGAGTAAGCAGTTTTGATTAGCTATGGGTGGCCAATTCTTACTGAATAATTATTGCATAGTAATTCTTTACTCGAACTTGGTCATATAGTTGTTAATTCATATCAAATTTTTATTGAATTATCGTCATCCTTCAAACAGTGTTTGGAAATAATGCTTTATTATTTCTAGCTTGATCTGTACTATAATACAGTTTATGTTATTAATTTTCATATCAATACGATTTTTTTTAAATAATGGGTATTTTTTAAAATAAACATAAGTACGTTTATCGATGCATATTTATTCATAATCTCTATAGCAAACACACTTTCAATGTCAAATCATGTAATTTCTGTTTATTTAGATGAAATAATATGTTGATTTCGTACATACATATATTTACAATATACATAAATATAAGGTTTTGTAAATTGAATACTGCGGAACACATTTAACTGAGCTACACGGTTAATTATATCAATTCGTTACACAAAAACCTCCTAACAAATAGTGACAACCTTGGAAGAGACATGAAGGCCACAAGAATTGGCTGTCTATGGGAAGATTAAAAAAATTAATTGACTCCGTGACTTCCTTAAGATTTAAAGCCGTTTTTTAGGTAAACACAATAAGGATTTCAGCATGTATTGGTGTTCTTGGGTGTCACCATATATAAATTCTTTTGGCTTTTCACAAGGAAATGATGTCCTAGAGATAGTACAGTTTTTGTTCGTTTTTTTATATAGCATTTATATTAATATATTCTACCTTATTAGCAGTATGTCGGAGTTATACGTATCATTTTAGTAAGTAGTAGCTAAAAATCAACACGTATTCAAAATTAAACTAGTTCCATACTTTTTCAAAATTTTAATTTCATGCATCATATTTTCATAGCATTGGAGCTCTCCAAGAGGTATTTATTACAAATATGCCTACAATGTAAGCAGGAACTTATTTTAGGTGATTACATGACATTTTTGTCTATTAAGAATAATACAAAAATTCTTGAGACAAAAATCTGTTGATATATTATAATTTCAATTGTCTTAAAATTTTACTATACGGAATGGAGAATTATAATATAATTATATCTTAAGCTAACGCTTGATGTTCGATTATTAATGTAATTTTTTTATATTCTTGTCACCTTCCGTTTATTAGGATCTTTTAAATACTAAAATGACATGTTAGTGCAATTACACTAAATAAGAACCGAATATTTTTATTACCTTGACTATTAATCATATTGCATAGTGTTACTGTTGACTTAGCATTTTACTTTAAATGTATTTTTACAGGAATCCCACCATCTATAGTGCAACCTCCTAATGGTGGATACTGGGTGGACGGAATAGACGAGATTCAGGATGGAGAAGAGCCAGAACCTAGAGCGCAACCCGGTACTCCACGGCAGGCGTCCAGGCGGCACAACATTGATACCGACGATACTGCCAAATACTACAGGCGATTTTTCCTGGGCAAGGTAATTTAAACCTAATCTTATTTGTAACAAAGTTTGCTTTTTAGCGAAATAAGGTCTAGTTGACAGTAAGCTATAACATCCAAAATACTGCACATAAAGAAATAATACATAGAATGTTAATAATTAATGTTGCTTATTTATATAATACAACAAAAAACTACACTGGAAGATCGGAAGCAATTGAATTGCGAATAAATTGTATGTGTAATTAATGCATAGCCTTAGCTCTTCTTACAACAAAAAAGGAAATAAATGTTGCGAAATGGCTGTCGCCACATATGGCTCCACTGTCGAGACACGCAGTCTGCCGTAGAGTACTTAATCCTGTTAACGACTCGAGCCAATCTGCTTTTCTGTCTCGATTTAATTACATTTTATGATTTCTTAAACAGGCAACGTCTTATTTAATAATATAGTGACAGTACATAACAGCAACACAAGATAATTACCATAGCGCCATCTAATCTCAAACGAGATTATTTTATTAGATACGAGCTCGTACTATGGGTACACGCTCGTACATAGATACATTTAGTTAAATACATTTTTTTTACTTAATAAATTCAGCATATAAATAGACAATACTTGGACTAATATACACAATCATACTTGTGAGCATGCGAGAATAGAACTTACCGCCATAGGTAGTATGAAAATGTGCTGAACCGTTATACACAAAAGGCCGTCAATTTGTAATCATTTAAAAATGTGATATTTTAACTGTATTTATTTTTATACCTGTTGTATTATTTAACTTCGTGATTTATATAGCAACTCTGTTTGCAGACTGATTACAAATTATCTATAGAAACGTCCAGGATGTATTTTAACAAGTACAAACGTCCAGTAAGTAATTTGACAAACACACTGTAAATGTGATCTCTTCCACTCGGTCACGTTTTCCTTAATGTAATGTACATGCGTTCATCACTACGTTGTTGTCCTTTCATGCATTGACCTTAAGTAAAGGTCTGCCGGTGTACTAATTAATAATTGACCCCATCCTATTTATAAAAATATATCATGATGTTTACATCATAAACAAGATTTACATATACCCCATTTATGTTTATCCAAAGGGATTAAATGTAAAAAAATTTCAATGACTGTACTGTTTCTAAGCATATAATGAAATTATAACAGACAGATAGAGTCTGTACATATAAATATAAATATTTTAAAAAGAAATATAGAGTAGAGAAATATGTCTTTCTATGCGAAGTAAAGTATCGATAGTTTAAATTAAAAAGCATCTCGTAAAAAATGTACATAAATATTTATACATATATTACCAAAGATATATATTTTTTTAAAACAAACGTAGGCTTCTTATTCTTATATTCATGTATTTGTCTTACAAATGACCTAGTACGCGTTGTATATGAAAGTTATACTACATTTTTTTTGTATTTTAAACACTAAATGAATAATATAAATTTAATGTAAATTGTACATAAAGCACTCATTAAATGCCGATATGTTGTTAATATAAAATTTCTCGGCGTATGCAATAATATATGACTTGGCGAATAAAGCCATGTTCATAGAAATAGCGAAAATGCGGAAATTACTTAATTTAAAGAGTTTTGCATAGAATTCTAATGAAAATATTTATAACAAACTGTAAATAGTAGGCACTTGTTACTATCAATTATTACAATTAGTAGAAGTAATCTAACGTGAAGTACTAATTGAACTAGTAACAACTCTTTATAAATGAGTCATGTACCTAGTGTAGTCTGTGTAAGCAGACATTTTCTTTCATTATACATTTGAATTTATTTTTGATAAAGTTTGGTTTAGTTATTTTACCTTTAATATCTTAATTTTCTCTTGATATCTTTACAAATGCAGCTAGAGAAAGATAACCGAAGTATCTAGATCTGTTACTTAAAATATTCGTACCTATCTAGTCTCATTTATGCGCAACGTTTCTGATTATTACTCAATGAATGAATAGTATTCGGAACCCTAATATAATAAATGGCTCTATCTGTCTAGACAACACCATTTACACTGTATGTCTGAAGTCTGGATTAAAAAACATGAGCCTTTATATTCAAATAAACTCAAGGTTAATAAGGTATACATAGTCAAGTTTGTGGATCTAAAATAAAATTATTAAATATTTGTTTTTATCTATATTGTATTATATAGGTAAGTCCGTAGAATCCTTATAGTATATTTTTACTAATAATAATATGGGATATAAAATAAAAGTACAACTTTAATAGTATTTTATAAACACAGTTTTAATAAACTTACATTGTGACCAAATGTCGCTTTAGCATCGCTTCTGCGTCCCCAGTCTTATAGTACCATCAGCACAGTTGCACATGTGAACTTTCCCATACCCACGCGTAAGCTTACTTTTTCTACTTTTTTCGTATCATTTGGATCCACTATAATTACTACTGTGACATTAAAGCGTATAATTTATAATAGGTAAACAGTGAAACAATTAGATTATCGTGACAGTCTATTAACTATATAGTTTTATCTCTACCATATTTCATAATTCGTCACTTATAAAGATTTCATAATTGAGATTCTGATGATTAAATATTAATCACATTCAATTGCAGTTTTATATTCTGAATGTTAGGTACTATATGAATATTCCTAGAATAGTCACTATTCTTTTTATCTTCAATATATCACGTCTAATTGGTAATCAATAAACGGCTAAATGTGGTAATTGATAAGAACACGTGTAACACGTCTTAGTATCTATTTATCTTCATTTAAATGACTATGCCAAATACTGAAAATAATTTTAGCATTACCAAACCAGATTTATTTTAGATACTAATTAAAGCGTTTACTCGTGAAAAGGCCGCAGATAGACACACTTTCACATTTATAATATCGTATGAATTGAAACATGTAGCGAAGTTGTTTACATTTACAATCAATACTTATGGGTCTGACTACCATATTAGTTCAGATCTTAATTATTTATGTTGTTCCCTGTCGACATTCCAAGCTATTCAAAATTCCCAATTTCACCAAATTTATTTACTAACATTTACTTAATCTGATATTCAAAACTTTCTTCAAACTGTTTCCAACGGATCAGATATCACTTGAATGCCCAACCTAAGGCTATATACTCTCACATAGACGTTGCCTGGGAAACTGGGAACCGTCGGATCATTCGAGTGTAAGTCGTGTAAGTGCATAATGTTGGCAGACTAAGTTCTAAACCGCAACTGATAAGGTAGACGCAGACGTGTCTGGAGGAGTAGCCAATACCAAGTACAACCTCAATTAGGTGTTAGTAAATGCCTCTTTGTGATCAATGTATAAGGGCTGGTAATTTGTATTCATTTGTATAGCATGACCTATTTACATTTTCCAATATTAGGTACTTTGTTTCGTATTTCTAATTAATGTGTTTGAGGTTGAGATTATAGGTACAGGTACCTTTGTTAATCACTGTTTCTACATGTCTATTGTTACTTCGTGAGAATCTCCATGTGTTAGTAAATTTATTATCAATTGTTTATAAATACAGAATATAACAAACTTTATGATTATTCAAAGTCCAGCGGTTAGCGAAATATTCAGTTTTGTTCACTTTCCAAGAAAACTTTTACTACTTTCGTCCAAGTACAAAATAAAGGAGATTCGTATTACGTTTGTAGTTTTTGTAGTTTGTTACACGATAATCGTTTAATTTTAGTCGTTTGGGTCTTTGTAAAAGTAAATATAGAATAGTTATAAATATTAGTGGATGGTAGTCGCGACTTCCTCCGTTTGTTTTAGATAAATGTTGCCTATGTTCGTCTATGTGACTCAATCTATATTCTTGTCAAATTTTACTAACTTACGTTAAACGCACAGACAACTCTTTCGCATAAAATATTGGGTTGGAGTACGGATTGCTAGATTATGAATTGTAATACCCTCACCTTATCAATTCAATCTCCTTATCTAAATAATTTGTTGTCACGTACACTGTTAACGCTATATTAGTAACTACTATTTGTCGAAGAAAACTACACATATTATAAATTAAGTTGAAATTATTCACCTGTAATAAAATGCGTAACTGCACCAACTAAAACGAAGGACGCAGTTGGGCGTTTGTTAAGGGCCCAACTACTTATTAAAAAAACTCGCAAATGATAGTGGGAAAAAGCGTCTGCGCTCGCCAAAGCGGAACGTTTTGACTTCACGCCCAGTGAGTTAAGTTCTCAGCTTCGTGTAGATTGAGCCGATTACACCATTGTAGAGTAATTTGGAACCCACCCGTGTGTACCCGACTTTATCTTGAGTAGAAATCTAAACATACTTGGCATATTTTTAAAGAAAACAAACTTATTTCCATGTCATAATTAGATGCAAATTTATAAACAGTACGTATGTATATGATCCTAACATAGCCACCCGCCCTGTCTTTTTACATAGATTACATATTGTAACATATTTTAAGTAAAATTTATATAATTAAACAAAATTTTACTCATCAATAATTTTTTTCCAATAGGAAATATTGTAGTGTCTTTCCAGAATTCATGTTGGAAACTTGTACTACTACTATGTACTAATATATATTGTGTATATACTCAATATCAATGTCGACTTGAAATATTAAAACAATTTCTATTTGAATTTAATATTTAATCATTACATAAAAAATGCACTTCATGATATTAGTGTACACATATTGTATGACTTAATAATAAGTATTGATTTATTTTATTTATATAATAATAACTAATATTGTCGGAATTTCGCATAATGTTGACAACAGATATTATGCATGACCAACGTTAATAACAGAGAACAAGCTATTAAACTATTTTGCAGTCACACTTACCTTTATACCTTCATTTCCTTGAGTATTTTTGTCTGTTTACATTTTGTATAGTTCATTTAAGAGTTATTTCGTAACGCACTGGAATAGCGCAAACGTAACATGCAAATTGCTTTATAAACGCCTTGCAAGATAATCTACTATCTACAAAATTCCCACAGCCCTGATTACTTCATTCTGATTAGGTTTAATAAAACTTTAAAAAACTTCTAAGTTGTACTTGTACCATGAAGATGTCTAGCTAAACCTTTGTTGCAGTAGACCGTCTGTTCTAAGAATTCTGAGTACGTAATTTTATAAAAAAAAGGTTGTCAACTTTAGATTTAAATAATTGTTTAAATATTTGTTCAAATGAACACCTCTATTTGAATAAAACATCTAATAAATCAGCGATGGCAACATTTAAAACTGAAAACTCGTAACTCCAACCGTGTTGTATTCTACAGCACATCGTTTGCATAACATATTAGAATCGTTACCGCGTCAACCCGTAAAGCTCAATGGGTCATTGTGGTTCTGGGGTTAGGCTAGATGAATGCGATGTTCTGATCGCTAAACTGATACCCCTGGAAGGTTGACGCGTAAATACGTCACAGCTATTACCGTATCACGTAACGAATGTTGGTGTGAACAGCAAGCCATAGGGGAGACTCATTAATACGCTTTCGTATATGATAATAAAATATACTGTTAAAAACGATGGTCAAAATTCTAATATAATCAAATACGAAAAACAACATAATACGATAATACTAATGTTATTGCTTCATTTAGTAACAACCTGCTCTAACTTGTATCTTGTATTTTAATTTTCGTTACTCGATAATTATTTTCCTATTGATTATCATTTCTTTACACTCTTTAGATAATATAGTAGTCATGTGGACACTTAGTTTTTTTTTAATTATATTTATATTATTGTTCTGGTGCGAATTTCCTTTTTACAGACTTTTTCGTGTAACAAAACTTAACAGCATAGTTCTTTATCTTGTACTGTCAGCGAGAAGATTAGTTTTTAATGACAAAAACAACTGTTGTATAATTGATTTGTGTAACAGTTTTATTGAATAAACTATATTATATTAGAAACATCCTCCTCTTAGATCAAAAGGATCAGTTTCCCTCTGCTCAAAGAGTCCAGTAACGTGGCGATAGTGGATTGTTATGATGTTAAGGAGTCATCATCATAGATATATAGAAATTACAGGTCATCTAATCTTTATAAATTACTATTTGTTTTCTGATTCATTTAGATGTCGCGTCGTTTACATTGACGAAGACAGATGCCCGTAACTGAGAATAGAGTGGAAGCAATAAGCAAATGCCTCCGTCAAAACGAAAAATTGATCCGGGCACAATTCGTAGAGTAAACGATGTCCTCTCAGAAATGATTGCCGTTTTCAGCGTAGTCGATCTCAGTATTAAATAAGGCTAGAGGTCGACTTCGAAAATCTGAATTGGAGAAATGGTTTTTAGTGAAACTTTTTACTGATTCATGTATTCATAATCAAACTTTTCAGGTTCATATGTTTTCTTTCGAAATATTACTGCAACTAGAAACTACATTTTACATTTTGGAAATAAACTAATCTTCGGTTTATAAGGTTTATGTTTTATTTTAAAGGTGGTAGTTATAAGTCTCTATTTTTGTGATATTTTGTAATCACGATAATATGTAAGTAAGATTTCATTAATCTTTGAACTAGTAAAAACAGTTGTCAGTCTGTAATAGGTATATCTAATGGTGATTTTGAAGTTGATTTGAATTGGAGTAATTCTTAATAGTGCATTTTACTAGTAATAAAATAATACTATTTTACTTAATGAGGCGGTTGAATGAAATATTATATTGTATATATATAGAATTATACGAAGAAAGTAGAACTCTAATGTACAATAGGAGTGTATTAATTCACTACACTTTCTCTATTATTTCTTCTCATTGAGATTATTGAAACCTTTTATTTAGTGGTCAAACTGTACTTACAAATATATTGATCAAAATACACATTGATCCCTTTGGAATATGATAGAATTTACCGTGTCATCATCTATTGATACATTATTAGCCTGTTTACGAAGCATCTATCAAGGCGTAACCTCTATTCACTACTGATCTTTTGAATAGAGAATTTTCACTCGACGAGCTTGAAAAAAAGTTTCCGGCAGATTTCTTATAGGATGACATAATCCATCAGTGCCTTCTGAAAGGGGGCATTAACCCCTCGTCCCTACAATTACCGTCTTTAGATTTCAATTTGCCTCTTTGAGGAGATGAAAAACGACAACTCCAATATTGAACAATTAAAGATAGAAAATTGAAGATTTATATTTTTAAATATAGCATAGTATATATGAGGTTAGTAGGTAACAATGCTAATGTATTCGTGTAGTGAATACATTTCAACGAGAAATTAAAATTTACAAATATGTGTGTTTGAATCTTTACACTAAATTGATCACGCGACTCTGCGGTCGCGTGGTTAAACTTAGGGAATTTTAGACAATTATTTTCATGTCTCGTTTCGTAGTATGCTTTTTCGCATCGCAAGTTTGTCAATAGTAGTTTTAGTTTGCTTATGACGACTTCTGTAGATTAGTTATTTATTAGGTTGTTAGGTATATTTATTTGAAATTTCGCTTGTACTATGTTTCTAAATTGTGAACATATATTTTTATTCGTTTTTATTATAGTATATTAGAAAAAATACCATGTCTATATCTTAAACAATGGTAAAGTTTCTTAAACTGTTAGTACAACAAAATGTACTTGCGATTTATTGATTCTAAGTTGTAAATATAATATTACGTAAGTTCACACTTAAACATCGATTGCATAGTGTTATTTTAAGCATATTGTTTAAACATTGAAACAACATTAATTCATTTGTAAAAAATGTAATGTAATTTAAATAACAAATATAAATTGGTAATCCTGCAATACTAATGTTATACTAGCATTACCAACTGTTTATTACCAATTGTTCCGTATAAAGTTATTTAAATTTTCAAATGTAGTCGAATTGTAATCCTTCGCAAAGGTCTCTGAATATGAGAAAAAAGGGTCCAACAAGGCTAATATAACAATGTATAAGTAATTAACATCTCCCATAACGATTAAGACTTCTTTGTTTTCGTTACAAAAGCTTTGCTTGACCCTCAAACTATGAAACAATAGTTATATCTGTTGAAACAATTAAGTATAATCTCTAAAACTTCATCAGAAGTGTAATAATCGAAAAACAGTAGAGTGTGGTCTTATCTTGTATCTTGAAACAACTATAATATTGCATTATGTAAATAGATTAGATGTCTAAGAATATGTTCAAGCCATTATTTTGGTCGTTGTAATGTCCAATTAATCACGGCAAACTAATACTATCTATATTATTAGTACGTGAAGCAAAAGGTTTGTACCCCTTTTGTACAAAAATTACGCAGACGAAGGTGTATGAAATACGTCGATCTATTCGTACTGTGCAATTTCACCTAAAAGTAATAGGACTTTTAGGTAAATGCATTTATTCTTCATCAGAAACATTATTAAATCTAAGTGTATAATACTAATAAAAGACAGTATTCTCAAAGAATCTATAAGGAAAGAAATATAACGTTGAAAATCAGGATAATTATCTAGTGACGCCAAACCGATGACATCAGACGGATAAATGCTCTGATTCATAATTTAATGGGTTTACCTTCTACGATTTTATTTATTCGATCACTATACAATGTAGGTATCTATAATATAAAAGTGTTGTTTTTATTTCTTTATGGTTTAATTAGTAGTATCTGTTAATTATAAAATCTTCACCATTAACAAACTACCTTTGTTGGTATAAATATACTTATGCTATCAAATTCCGTGAGAGTTTATAGACTTGGGCGTGACTATTCGAGGTTTTACGATTCTTGTGACGACCAATATTCACTTGGTTATTACATACATACTTATAATTAACTTCTCTGTATCAAAATACCTACATTTTGTTTGTGGTACACTATTTTAAAATCAATATAGTAAATTATGTATTTATTGACTAAGTTTTCGCTATGTACCGAATATTCTTTTAATCTTTACTGCACAATAAATAGTGTACAAAAGGCGACCTTAATGCCATTCCCTACCAGCGAACCCTTAGAAATAGAAAGCGTTGTATGTCATAGCGAAAAACTGTGACAATAATACTAAATTATATATTATAGTCCATATTACTAACAATCCTCTGCTCCCCGAGAGTATGTTATGATGATGATAGGTTATTGACGCGTATTTTATTTATTTATTAATGTTTTGTCATCAGGAACACGTCAATTTAGTTGGGACAGACGAAAACCAATGCCCAGTAGTGATGTCCCTCAAAAATGAACATGTGGCTGGCCAAGATCACACGAGGATACTTTTAAGGCTCCGAACAGAAACTATGCATGGACTTACACCCTCCACAAGTAAGGAAAACTTATATTTATCCTATTTATTTAATTAGCACCCGAAAAGATATATATAACTAATCGTTTGTCTTGATACGTATGTACATGTAATATAATTGGTAGGAATAAAGAAAGTATTAAATATTCAATATGAGTGGTTTTATGGGTACAGCAGGAAAAATAGAAAAAGAGATAGATAGACTGCGTAAATGAGGATATTGCTGAAAACGGAGTAAGAAGTGAAATAAGTTCTTCAACTTAATACGATCAATAGAAAAAGGGTAGATAAAGAATACAGCATTGTTCTTAAACTTTTAATTTTTAATAAATCTTTTTATAACACCAATATTTTCAATTCTAGGATCGAGCATAATGCCATCGCCTTCGAAAATGGCTAAAATGCTGAACGAACAAGTGAACGTAGATAATTTCATGCCTGTCATGTGTTTAAATGCGTCGCAATTGATCGCGGCCTACGACGAACACGTGTTAGTGAACAGTTTCAAATTTGGAGTACTTTATCAGAAATACGGCCAGACAACTGAGGAAGAATTGTTTGGTAACAACGAAACGTCGCCCGCCTTTGACGAGTTTCTAGAAATGCTCGGACAAAGAATAAAATTGAAAGATCATAAAGGTAACGTATTATTATTTAATATTTGTAAATACGAGCTATTTATAGCTTATTTTAACGATTGAGATACAGACAGATAGGTATAGATTTTTTTGTTTATTAAAATTCTTACATTCATCTTTAACAAATATGGTTAGGTTACATTGTTTTAATGCGGAGTTCCGTAGCTTGACTTCCAGTCACTATGCCATCATCATTCATCAGCTAATGATAAAGTTCGACAGCAGTTCATTCGGAATATTTGCCTTAAAAATATCGGTTTATTAATGTCAGTGTTTTGAGGTAAAATATAGAACCGAATTGAGAACCTTCTCTTTTTGTTAGTTACAAATAAATATATCAATACTTGATGTTAGGTATATGTAAATTAAATAAGGTGTTGTAATAAAATATGATTCAATTAGTTTACCGGAACTGTGTATGGAAATAGGAATATTACTGAGACCTATGTATGTAGGTAATATATAAAGGAAAACCACATGAGTTTATTACTAGTATGTTGGTTATTCAACAAAACCTAATACAAAGTATCTACGTATATATATATAATAATATGTCGTATTGTGAAAATTTAAATCACTCATTTATTATCATATATGCTTATATAGCCTATTTCTATCAAACAGCAATAATAGTCCTCTATTATAATTTAAAAAAAAATATCTTGTATAAGAGTCCGTAAATTTCCCATATATTTAAATGTTTTTTTATTTTATCTTTACATGTAATGAAATCTAAAAATCGTTACAAATGTATTAATAAAATAATAGATGGCATTCTATAAATTATTTATTTACTTTTGGTTTTCGATTGTTACTTATAGATATGTATATAAAACAAATATATGCGTAGACCAAGTCAGGGCCACCACTAGTATAAAATTAGAATTTAATATATTTTTACTTGATTGTTGTTTAAAGGTTATAGAGGTGGCTTGGACATCATGAACGGACATACAGGTTCCGAGGCGGTCTACGAGCAGTATCATAACAGAGAGATTATGTTCCACGTGGCTCCATTACTGCCCCACACCGCTGGAGATGCGCAACAGCTTCAGAGGAAGCGACACGTTGGAAACGATATCGTGGCGATTGTTTTTCAAGTAAGTGCATGTTCTACTTTTTTCACTGAACTGAAATGGTAAATAGGCTCATTGCCCACCTGATAGTAATTGGTAACTATCTCCTATATATATAAAAACTACAATATATGAATCCTGTAATTTCTCTGCATTATAAAGTAAATATGAATAGAAAATCATTTATTCAAATAAACTTAATTTAAGCACTTTTGAATAGTCATAACAATTTGTTTTTTTATCAAACTCGTTCGGAAGCTTTCTCATCACAAGAAGAACGAGCAAGCAGTGTGTTGCAAATAATCCTTGTAAACATTTAAATGAAATGTAGAAACAAACTACCAACACATTTTTTTGGGTCATTTATTTTTCAGTCGTAGTGATAAGAGCAGACCAGTCTCTACAAGCAGCACTCGTTCACGAGTATGACGGATAACCACGCCGCCACATGTTGTAAAATTTGGTATATGTAGTTACAGTATTCGAACGTCTGCGGCAATCAATACAAAAGCCGCTACGCTTATATATCAAGAAAGCTGAAAATTAAAATTATAACGTTGTCAAAACTGCGTATATTGACATCAATATTTCAATATTCGAAACAGTATTTTTTATTATTTTCTATTTTATTGAAACTCCTTTTAATGACCACATTCGAATAGCTATAGTTTTTATTATAGGTATCAACTATGATTTCTATTAATTACTTTATACAGTTACTTCATCATTCAATCATAGTCAAAATTTTATACGATCGATTCTACGTTACGGTCATTATTTATAGTTGGCGTTTTCGCAGTTTTATAAGTTTAACATATTTCACACAGGAACTCATTCAAAATCATATAAAGCATTTTGCTATTTATGCACGGCACTATTTTGAACCCTATAGTCCAGCTTAGATGGCTTTAATTAAGAAATATTAGAAGTAGGTCTCTCGATTTCAACATTTCAAATCTCAATTTCTGCGTTACAAAAATCGAATATCTTTTCAAGTAAAGTCACTATAGTATATATTCGAATTTGTATTAAATTTATCGTTTATTTTACTTCACAGGAAAAGCCAACCCCATTCACGCCAGATATGATCGCCTCACATTTTCTCCACGCATTCATCGTTGTGACGCCTATGGAGACGGCAGGCGGGGAGACCAGGTATTATTATTATTCTTCCTTCTGTTTTCCTTTGTTTGGTAATCAAATACGTGTCATCTGTGTATTACTCGTACGTCATTTACTAAGCAAGAGCGAAGTTTCGAGCAACACTGCTCTCTTAAGTAGATAAATCAATTTTTGTTATAAATACCAAACATGTTAATGTTAAAATAGATAAGAAATACAATATTGGAATATTAATATAAAATTATACCTTTGAGTAGGTATACTCATAGTAACTTAAATAAAATAAAATAATCGATTATACTTTATACGTATAAAGTATTGTTTTAGAATACTTTTAATTTGATTTTAGTTTTATTCACTTTTATAGCTATCAATGATCCAATTACCATTTAAAATCTGAAGTGTTTACTTCTGTATATACTTAGTAGTAGAGTAGAGTAGTATTAGAAGTACAGTACTGCAATGTTGGTTTCCACCATTTAAATTATTCACGGTTACGGTGATGCCCGCATTTCTAATCCGTATATTTACAACGATTTCTATGCTGGATGTTAGTAACAGTTTTAATACGAACTAGACCGACGTGTTTCTCTGCATGTTTATTTGTCATCCTATTTTTAATTCCTTCCCTTGTCTGTTCCTTACATTTTATACTTACAATGCGACTTATTTAACATAAAGTTTGTGTTACTTTCCACAACCGAGATATTATTTGCATGGAGAAGTAGAGAAAATAGCTTGGAAAGTGGAATGGAAATTTTCTTGGTTAATTTATATGCAAACGAAACGCAACTCTATACCTACTGTAAGTAATTATAAAGGCCTTTTTTTCGTAAAAGAATAGAATAATAATGTAGCGACTTATTATTTCATAATTCGGGCAAAATGTTGTATACATAATATAGATGCGTTAACAGAAATATTAGTAATTTATGTACATAATATTCTGCATTCGTAAATTCTAAAGCATTCTGTCAGCTGAATTGCTTAAATAATAATAATTAGCAAAGACAGTTCACATAGCATCATATAAAGTTTTGACTTTTTTATACCTAATCAATTCGTCAGAAATAGACTCACATTCGGGTTTAAAAAATACTAGTAATACAAAATCCTAATACAATATTTTTAGCCGAAACAGTATTTTATGTCGTTATTTTTATTTCGGTTTCGGTGATGTAATTATAGAAGTAAAGTTTTAGGCGCCATAAATATGTCTCGTAGATGTTCAAAATACATCATTTCCTTGTACAGGAATGTTAAAAAACATTTTTTGAATAGATAAATTTTTGGTACGTTACTTAATATAAGAAATTATATAGTTAATCACTTGACCATTTAACACTTTATAAAAATGTGCAGTGATTTTGACAGAGAAGTAGATACATAACACTTTTGTTTGGATCTTTAGCATAAACATGACGATCCAATTACAATATATTTAGAGAGTAAAAGTAAAATATTTTTTTCGGTGATTGAACGATTATTATTTTATGCTAAACATATGAAAATTTTTAAATGGTTTAATAAGTGAAGTTGAATTTTCATTTAATTAATTTCACATTAGTAAAATCCGATAATAGATTGTATGAACGACATTGTTTAAAAGGCAAGTAATGATACATAAAGACATTATATGATACGTGATAAATACATTCAAAATTAACACTTATTTCAACGCTGCGGCCGCTTATAGGTGACAATGTCGTCACATTTTTTTGTGTGCGTGAGGGACTGATTTGCATGCGAGTTGTGTATTTTGGAGTTTTCCAATGTTAAGTTATACCAGTATGTCTTAGCGTGATGTCTAATATTTACTAATATTATCATGTCTACAATCTCGTAAATGATACTGATAAAAAAAAATGTAATATTTACTTATATTTGCAATATACACGACACGTTATTTTATTACGTTTAGTATATAATAAGTAATTTTCATATCTTCTTTTATTTCGGATCGTAAAGTTTTATTTCGCTCTATGATCAAAAATGTATTTTTATATTTTTACCTAACGTCTCACTCCTAAGGACTGCTAAGCCTCACCCTATAGTTCTAATATTACTCAAACTTTTCTTCTATTCCAGGTACAAGGTGGCCGTCACCGCTCGTGGGGACGTACCATTTTTCTCGCCGACTCTCCCCCAGCCGCCAGTATTCCGAAAGGGGCGTGAATTTAAAGAGTTCCTCCTCACCAAACTGATAAATGCAGAGAACGCGTGCTACAAAGCTGAGAAATTCGCCCAACTCGAGTTGAGAACGAGATCTTCGTTGCTACAGAATTTGGCTGAAGATTTAAAGACTAAAACCATGGAGTTTCTTGGTACGGGTATCAGGATAGCTGAAGCGGGAGCAGTATCACCACAACCAGATCTAACGCCTAAACAAGATGGCCCTGGCGCTAGATTTATAGATACGGTGAAGAAAGCACTAATTTCAAAAGTCAGGTTGGTAATGAATTTGTTATTAAGGTCAGAGTTTATCTTTATAAAGTCTATGGTAAATTAACTTCATGCAAATTCAAAAAGAAAGAATTTCTCCTTTCTCAATTCTGTTATTTATATTCATTAATATGTTAGGCAGTATTTACATTAACTCTATATGAACCATTTTAATCCTAGATGACATAGACTCTCGTGTTCCTGGCTACTAATTAAATATTTAATTAAAGTAACTTACTTTACTGCTACTAGTAGTTCACTTATAGTATTTTCATTTACAGTTCCAGATCACCGAGTGTAGATACGAATCTCTCTGGCGATAGCAATAAGATTCCAATTAATAAGAACAAATTGCCAGCACACGAAACACACACACCAAACGTATGTATTAGTATTTAAAGTATACTCTCTACTGCAACTACTGTTGTTCTATTATTGTAGTACCACCACGTCATACTATTGAGCGAGAGTATTTATTATTCTTTTAATACCAAACCGATTAAGAAGAGTTTTATTCCGGGTATTACTTCTAGGTTTTGTTCTCATATTAATTGTGGATGTTGTAGTCGCCATAAATAAGGTCATAATGCTTATGTTAGTCATATTTTTTTTATAAATGTTTAATCGTTTCTGTAATAAAATTTCAGAGCGGTCGTTCAAAATCTTCAATAACGTCATCATCAGCGAGTGCGGTGTCAGTACGTTCAGCGGGAGGCTCAGGCGAGTCCAGTCCAGATGTGACGTCACGTGCTGCCCCACCGCGACCACCACTCGACCATAGTGATGACTCCAGTCTCAATTCCGTTGATTTGGACCCTCTTGGTAAGTAATCGATTAGCATCATCGTTACATTAACTAATTTAAATCCTGTTAATGAATGAATATTTCTATAATATAATTCGATTTTTTTAAGGTAAGTAAGTACCACAAGCTACTATACCAACTCAACATTATACGCCAGTTTTTTTAATTTATATAAAGCAACATTGTAGAAAATCAACTACCGTTATAATTTATGTATCTCAATACAATAGTTTGAGTTTGAGTTCCTTATTTAAATTTCATTTATCATGGTGAATATTCATTCCTCCAGTAAGTAATATACAATACAAAAATAAAATGCAAAATATAGGAGCATCAGTTTTTTACCGATCAGACGATTATGTGATATTTTAGACAATATTTCATTATCATTGTAGTTTCTATTTATCGCACATATTCCGTCACAACAATTGTAATTCGATCATTAACATCGTACAAGATCATTTCGTTAGTAGAAATGTAATTAGTAGATATTACTTAACCGTACAATGAATTGGAAATTTTTGTTTCAAATTAGATGACAAGGACTGGCTGAGTTGTGGTAAATGTACAGCAGGTTAGTCCTGTAGACATTGTGTATTGTAGAATAGAAGTACAATTATGTTCGCTTAGTTCCTAATTATTGTAAATGGCAGGAGTGAATTTGAACTTCACAGCGGTTGCAATGCGCATGAATTCTTTACTTCCTATAAATTGAATTATAGCAGTGGAAGTAAAATTTGCACTCATGCGAACTAGATAAAAAGTAATTACTAAAATTGCAAGAAATATAGCTTACGACAACAAGAAGTAAGTTTGTTATTCAACGTTACGAAGTCGAAAATGTATATATCTACTATACAAGTAGGTACGATTCGAATTCACTCTGAGCATGACGTTTAATATAGCGTAAAATTCTGTTTATTATTTTTGAAGGTATACTCTTTTTAAGTGTTTAGTAGTACTTTATGTAGTTAATAATAGTATTATAAGGAATTACGTGATATCTTCGGGCCATGAATAATTATGTTATCGTAAATACATCGTAAAATTTACTTTTCCATGCGATGTTGAAATGTGACTTGTAAAGTTCTCGGCTGTAATGTATGTGAACCTTTAAGATTTTATTTAAAATTTCACTATTCTATAGAGATATATTTTACAATTACCAATAGGTAGGTACATACCACTAAGTAATTGGTACTTATATTCGTGATTTCTAATTATACGATACTACCGATAAACTTTCTTCGTCTATGTTAACATAGATTACTAATTCATAAATATCAATCGATAGGTGGTGTCTACGTGGACAGTGATACAGGCTTAGAATCGATGTCGTCTGCGGAAGCGGGCGGCGGCGGCGGCGGGGGCGGGGGCGGGGGCGCGGGGCAGGGTCGCGGGGAACCGCTGGCAGCCGCGCGCGGCGACGCTGAACTCCTCCGCCAGGAGGTGTGCCGGCTCAAGAACGACAAACTAGATCTGCTTAAACAGAATATTGTAAGTATCGGCAACAACGAGCAATAGTCTAATAGACTATTGCTATTGAGTAAAAACAATATATGCATTATGACTACGGCCCTCAATGTCCACTGCAAATTGAATATACATATGGCAAAATTAGGCCTAAGTTTAACAATTATCTGCAGAGGTTGCCAAGCTAAAGAGGAAACGTCTAACGTCGTCGTAACTAAAAAAGCACTCTAGTTGCCAACCTATATTTTTTCGATTCGATTTCTTGATTTCTCTACAAATATTCCGTATTAATTCTATCACATTTAGAGTAGTCTTTGTTCTCTAAATGTTATAGAATATTCTTAACTTACCAAAAGGCCTACTTACTTATCGAAATTTACTTTAATTTTCAGACATGGCAAAATGAGATAAAATGCCTCCGAGAAAGAGAGATGTCGCTGCAAGCGGAACTAGCGGCCACCGCTAGAGAAGTGAGACGACTTCGCGACCAACAAGCCGGCACCATCATCTCCAATCCATCAGCGCATGAATCCACCGCTTAGATATTACGTTCTAAACTTACTTTAATTTCAACTTTAATGCAACGCATTAAGGTAGGCTTTACATTTCGTCAACTTAAAGCGCAGTAATAGGCGATAATTATTATCGCCATCTGATCTCTTACTGTGTTTTAATGTTTTGGTAATTTATTTAATAATAACAGATCTGAGACTAAAAATCTATCCTACTTGACTTAGGATAACATATAAACATAGACGTTAGCAATTAATGCCTAGTAAATTATCTACTCAGTGTTATAGAAAAGAGGTGAAAACTAAATGTCCTGCGTTTTTTTATATTCTCTCTTAAACATTTACACTGAAGTATGGTTTTTGCAAGCGGCAATACGATAATAAGTGCATGTCAGATTTAAATATACAGGTATACTTATATCTAAATTTCTATATTATGAGTAGATTTAGAAATTTATGGACATATATAATTATTCATTGTGTTGTTATTTCTGAAATGTGTATGCACTTTTGTTTTTACTTACGGCGTTCGCGTAATTATGTTGCATATTGTACATAATTCTTTTGATATAAATTATATACCTTGCATCTTACATATCTATTAAGAAAAAGAAGTAGATGGTATAATCTTTGTCATTTTGTATCCAGATACAAAATGACCAAGATTTAATCTTACATGGACTTTGAATTACATGTTTGATTCTTATCACTCGCGCTTAAAGGTACTGTGTTATTGTATTCTGTGTTCGAATATAATTTGTGCAATAATTTATTTTTTCCTGTCATTATTATCATATATTATTGTATGTAAATAGAGACATTTCTTTACATTAAATACTGTACTATCCCAGTTCTTTCATGTCATATCTTGACTGAAATTATTATAACACTTGTACTGAGATAGTTAATACGAATTTCTATAGCTATTTAAAATTTAATATAAGTATGTCGGATCTTTTGTATGTCATTTTACCGGAACCAACTGTCTGCTGAAAAAACATAAGAATAAAGACTTTGAAAATGTCATTATTTCTTATGCATATTTATTATATGTATATTTCTTATGCAAAGGTAAATGAATCCATAATTACAATAACTACACGTTATTGTAATTATGGATTCATTTACCTTTAAAGTAAGTTGGGAAGCACACTATCAAAGCGATTACAACTGATCGAATCAATTTAAAAGTAAAAATCTTCTAAACCGCTATTTTCGTATACAATATTATAGAGCCAGGTTGGTGAGAATAACTAGTGTTTCAAAAAAAGTCCTTTGCATTTATCTACAACAATAAAATAATATATATCAAATTTTCTCTGGAAATTTTTGCATAAAATTGAGATGCGTCTTGTAGCCAATGATCAGTGTGCGATAAATATTTGTAGATCGTCCAACTGCTTTGTAAATGTTGTGATAATGTAGACATAACTCTTTATAAACTGATTTATATTACTGCAAATATTTAGCGAAATATTGTACTATTTATATGATTATAAGGGTACTTATACTGATTTTCTACTAAACACAAGTGAATAAGTGTAAACAAGAGATGTTCTGAATTTCGGGCAATATTGGATGCCAAGTAGGTAAATGCAGCATTATTTTGATAAGTAATTAATTTTTTTTAAATATCAAAAAGAAAACTGCTTCATGTGATAAATATTTTGTTAATTTTATTATCTTATATACTAAAACTATTTTCAAAACAACAATGCACGTTTACGTATGTTAGTATACGATAATTATTACTGCTGTACCTATAACGCTGACTTGACACTTAAAGCTGAAAATGCAATGAAAATATGTAGATAATAAAAAAACCTCTTTGTTTGCACTTTTTCACATAGTATCTCTTTAATTACTATATTGTGTAACATGCGCTCCTTAGTAAAATTTCGTACGTTCAAATGATAATTATTTACAAATGTAATAGTTGATTATATAATTAGTATATTTATATTTAAAAAAGATATATGTAAGAACCACAGTATATGTAGATAATTTTATATGCACACGGCAACACTGTAGTTAAACTAAAGCTTTGTTTGGACTGTTTTAAAGCAACTTAGTCGAGTAGCAAGTAAAGTAAACAAACTCTACTCCACTAAAATTCCGGTGTTAAGACAGGTTTAGTGAAAAAGCAGTCCAAACTAAGCCTTTATGTATGCAAATTCAATGTAGGTAGTGTATAATAAATTAGTTTAACTATAAATGGAGCTATAAATGTGATTGTTAGTCTAGAATGCCTTCACGTGGTCTTTTATATGTTGTCAGTGTAAGTCAACGGCAAATTATATTTGTGTAATCGCACATCAATATAGTAAGTATATTGGTTTACATCATTTGTCAGTGTATGGGAGAGGCATTCTAAGTATCAAAATTAATGACATCTAAATTCTATATAGAAAGAACGGTACCTATTTAAATAAGCCTTGATATCTATTAGAAAGCCTATATTATTCATATATTATGGTGCATTAAGAAATTCTTATAAATTATATTGTTACATGGTTTGAATATCTATTGTAAAAAATCTCCCAGTTTATATAATTATTACTTGATTTAGTTGTATAACACTGACGTACTTTGCACAGTGCAATTACTATTTTTTGCAATTCACCACAGATGACTTACTAGTAGACACTACTATTTTTTTAAGTATACAAATTTAATTTCACCAGTTATTGTAAATATATTTCAACTGGACTTAGGGTATTCAATTAAACAGTATTTTCTTAATTTATGCTTGATTTAAGTCTCGTTTACCGAGTGTCTTTGAGTTTTAATGTTTTGTTGTTTATAAATAATATTTTATACCAAAGTTAACATTCCCCACTAAATAGTATAGATTTTTTTATTATTATTACCGTAATAAAGATGAAACAGTATTTATTATTGTACTATCCAGGGTGGTAACCTGATTTGCAGTTTAATTATACTACATCGTTTAGTTTAACTATTCTGTAGGCTTAATTAATTGGTAATAATGACACATAGGTACGTAGACATATTATTTAAAAATAATTGAAACAATTTTCTTCTATAGATAGAATAATCCATCAATCAGATTGATTATTCTATCGATTAGAGAGGTTTATTGCCTCATAAAAATATTTTTTTTGCCATGAGCATTTTCAAAATAAATATTCGATACAATCGCTCAGTATAGCAATACTTTATTCCATATGAATGTAAACAACTGACTAAAATCAGATTGAAATAATTTTGTTCCTCAGGAAACTGGACACAAATGGAAAAGGTATGAAAAATATTATATTCTTTAGCAATGGAAGAGTGTAATTTGACTAGAAAATATGATCGTCTAGAAAGCTCGATACTGTGTTTATAATGATAATGTGTCCCGTGCCTATGTCAACATTATGTCATTATTTCCTGTTTACTTTAGTAATTTGTCGATCTGTATGAAAGTACGTTAACAGAGTATGCTAACACTAATATCTAAGTTTACATTTAGTTTCATTATTAAATGTAATCCTTTGGATTTTGTTCGACTGTTGATTATGGTTGAGTTGATTGACTAACTGTTGATTCGTCTTCACTTACATTTAAACCAAATATTGCGAGCGCGGAGCGTTAGAATAAATAGTTTATAATAATAAGAGATACTATTGAAATATATAAATAGTTAATATTAAATAAAAGTGTTGTTTCATTATAAAATACATGTACCCCATTACCAACGATAACAGAACATTGTATGGATGATTCCTTACTTCATACAATGCCACCTACTCCTAAATTATGCAGATCATGTACTACAAATATCGCTTTTCGGCCTTTTTATATGAAATCAAAAGTATTGTAATAACTAATTATATACTTTTATTTCTAAAAACAATAGGTACTTTGATCAGTAATAAACAAAATTAATGTAAGGGGCTCACTTCATAAACGTTAATCGTAAAAATATCAAAGTGAGAAAAGAATCCATAACGTTTCTTATTACATTATTCTATCTGTAAATTTACAAGTAATAGCATGATGATTGTTCTTGGCTGTCTGACTAAAAATTAATGCATTAAAAAAATATAGTGACATCTATGAGAATATGTAAAGAACTTCTACATAAAAATAATATTAGCACAGAAATTACCTGATTGGATTCTAACTTACAGTGTAATATCTTAGAAGTCCGTTAGATGGCGCTCAAAGATCCTTCCAGAAACTAATAATGATTAGATGTTAATTTCAATACGAAATTATTCAATTACTTGGTTAAAATTTTGCAATTATCAAAAATATTTAAACTATAATTAAATTTTATTGAGCATATCGTTCATTTGTATTTTCGTATATAAACTTTCTCTTACAAATATTCAATATCCCAATTATATATATTTTATATAAAATATTTATTAGACAAAATTCTAATTATTTATCTTGAATTTAGTTGGCTATTAGAAGATTAGTAGCTGATTTGTTCCACCGTCGTGTCGACAGGTGACTAAATTGACATTTTATGATCTGATTTTTGACTCTGGGTCGATGTTATTTGTGGTGTCTCTTACTACGTCCATGTCAACAATGATGTTTATATCATTTGATACATTGTAGGCTTATCTGCCTCCGAAATGGAGTCAAGTACTTGTTGTTCTGTTGCTTACGTACCATTTTGATTAGATCCAACTTCCCTTCTGGAGCGACAAGAATTCCGTGACTTTTGGTTCAATTCAGTTCTCATGCTTTTACTCTGAGGGACCTTGAGAGTTGAGAGGAGATGTCCTCTTCGAAGAAAAGCTTTTCTGCTCGGTGGAATGAGAGAATACATTTTATCCGTTGTATAGTTGAATACATTAATTCCAAAGTGATAGTAGTAGTGTATATTTATTAGTTAGTTTTTTTTTTTAATATTTGGTATAGGCAAAAATAAAAATTTAAGAATTCTTTATTAGGTAACACAATTTTTACTAAATTTTATAAAATTGTTGGTGATAATATTATGTTAGACATTTTACTATATGCAATAAATTTGTAGAAATGTATAATTTAAATATTTGAGATAAAAGGTACCTAACAATAGTATCAGTAAGGCGTAAAATATTATATATTAAAATATGAGTTTGACTACACTAAAGAATAAACACTAAACAAAGTAGATATCTATCCCCTTACCGAATAATAACTATGCGAAACTTTACCGAAGAATTTAATTTCGCCGTGATGTACAAGTTGGGCAATTTTTCATTATTCCAGACCAGTAAACCTCAGTCTGTTCAGTATAGCTACGGTGGAGAAATT